TTTAACCGAATCAATTCGTAGACTCCATATGACAGTTATTTCCACTTTTGAATTTGATATAAGTGATATGTCAATGTATCACATGAATGGTAAGTAATACAGACCTAAGGTACGTGTATTTGAGAGTCCTGGGTTCATAAAAATAAATTTGAGGTTAAGGTCAAAGGTCAAGATCATGCTCTAAATTTTGACTTTTCATTGTTCCGAGATCTCCTCCGTAACAGTAAAAGAAAGCGACAAATTTATTTTACCAAATTGCTCGTTACATATTCAGGATTAGGATGACCATTTGGACCGAAGCTTTCCGGAGACTCCATATGAGAGTTATTTCCCCTTATGCATTTGATATAAGTGATATGCATTTCTAACTGGTAAATCATAAGTGATAGAGACCTAGGGCCTTTTGATTTGAGGTCCTTGGTCAAAAAAAAAAAAATAGGTCAAGGTCAAAGGTCAAGGTCATATTCTAAATTTTGATTTTGGCTTATTTTCACTTCTTTCAAAAACCATATAAGACATTGACAACATATTTTTACTAAATTGTTAGTTGCGACATGTCGTAACACATACATTTTGGTTGAAAGGGTACGCTGACATTAAATTGGAGTTTTCTCCCCTATTATATTTAAGATTACGCGTATTATTTTTACGCTCATTAACCATATTTAATAAAGACCTAGTGTCTTTTGATTTGAGGTCCTTGGTTTATGACCTTGAAATTGAGGTCAAGGTCATAGGTAAATTTGAAGTTCTAGATTTTGACCTTTGCTTTAAATTCATATTTATACATCATAAAGCCATAGGACTTTGTGCATTAGGTTACAAGCCATATGACTTTGAAAAAGCAAACATTAGTGACCTTGTGTAAACCGGAAGTGGCTATTTTTTGTACTTATTTCATGTAAAAGTATATAGAACAATATATTTTTGAAAGCATCAAATATCAAATAATACCGGAAATGACATTTGTCAGACCGGAAGTATCAAATTACCTCCTTTATTTCAAACAAAATTGTATAGAAACCATATATTTTTGGAATCAGCAAACAATAAGCTATCATTTGACACTGGTAATGACATTTTAAACCGAATTTTAATATTTTCATATCAAAATAAATCTTTAGAAGTGGAAAGACCTTCAATTGTTCTCTGAACAATTGGTTTTTAATTTTCTATAAATCATTTATTAAACATTCTAGCGACCGTTATCAATATTTAAGTCCTTGAATTGCTGTAATTGTACGAGAGAGAGATTTTTGCAAATTTTGAGTATGTATCCCCAAGATGTATAAGAAGGACATCGTTAACCAAAACCAAAATTATATTTGAAGTAAAGCTATTCGTTGTCTTTCAGATATAAATTAAGTATTGGTTAGCAATGTTCTTCGATACAAATTTTACAAAAACATATAAAAATTGCAATTGTTTTTCAAAATGCCTCAAACAGTGTAAATAAACTCATCATAGATACTCTTAATACACGTATTGTAGCTCTGAATAACTTTTTAACTTCATGGAAATATGTAAAATTGTACCACAGTATTTAAAACATATGATATGTGCTCTTTAATATTTAATTTCCGGAAGAATTTGAGACTTTTAGATATCGACCATGTGATTGAATCAAATACAGGGGATATTGACTCATTGATGTTAACCTTCGACCGCAAAGTCAAAGGGCACTTGTCTAAACCCAGAGGATACAAGGCCCCTACAAGGTTATACATTACGTTGCGAACGATGTTGGAACGAATTCCTTTTTGCTTTATATTATCAGAAAAGTCAATGCGTTCACTGGTCAGCTCGTTAAAAATATAGTGCTTTTTGGTTGATTTTAGTTTAATAGGATTGAAAGTAAAAAATAATAGGAATCGAAATTTAAAATACCAAAAATTAAAACACTTAGTTATCCATTGTACAAAATATCAGAGTTGTGTGTCTTTCATATCATATTTCTTCTCCGATCATCTTAAAACTTGACAAGATTATTGCTTTTGTTATAGTTATTGCATGTTAAAGCAAAATCAACATCACTGAAATCGTAAACCGAAAAATGTCATTTTTTAAAACGACCTGAAAAATGTCCAAGCATACGAAAGGTAATCATATATCGAGTTCCTGCATTTATATCATGAAAATGGAAAAGCTGACAGGAAAAATATTCATAGTATAAAAATAGATTTATTATATTCTTGGTTCATAATATTTTCTTGTCGGAAACATGAGTATAGTCACTACCGTAATGAATTCAAAGGGTATAGCCATCTTGTCACAACGGAAAACGGTAAAAAAAAAAATTCAATTGAGGTTTTGACCAGCTGTATATCAAATAAGCATAATTACTTCATAGAAAATTAAATTAGCGGTAAAAGTACTTAAGTTTCTCTATTTTAATCTAACTAGTTTAAAATGTTTTTCGTTGAAAACAAGATATTTAGATTGTATCAAAAAATAAAGCCGTGTTGTCACAACGTCCACAAAACGTAACTAATGTCATGATCGTGTTTTAAAATTGATATTATAATTATTTTTTTCCAGTTTAATTCGCATAAAGTATGAAATATAAGTTATAATCTAACCCACGTATAAAAGTAGAGAATTTTAAGTAACATCCATATGTTGATCAAATGAGATTTAAAAAAAAATATCGAGATCATTGTTTTTGAGTATATTTCGTTTTATCTAAGGAACTTCTACCTACAGGTTCCAAATCGTCAAAAGAAAAGGTATAATATCATCATTAATTGAAAAAAAAATAGAGAATAACCATTGCTAAATTATAACAAGCAAAAGACAAGCATTATGCCACAAAAATCACAATTGTGCAAAAGTGACTCCCAAATATTTGACTTGCCTAGATAGATCTTTTGCGACAAAGAAAGCATCACGAAATGATAAAAAATTGAAAAGGAAAGGAAACTGAAAAAAATGAAATGAAAGGAGTATATATATATACCATACAAGAAAAGACAGTAAAAACCAAAGGAAACGACTTGACACGAGGCACAACAGAAAACTTTTAAAAAAAAACAGCCTAAAACAAACTGCACAAATTACCGATTTACTCCTGCTTTGCCCACATTTAATTATATCAATTATCTATTAGCAAAGAAAACAAAAAAGATAAAAGATTTAATGAGCATACAATTGTATAGTCTGTTCCAACCTCATAGGTACATGTATATAGTTCATCTGTGCTTTCCATATATTCAATTATTCTTCATTTTGTAGTTTCATTTTTATTCATATAGATAAATAATAAATACATCACAAAAAAAATCTCAATAATTTAATATCAATTCAATCGATTCATTTAACATACAACTAATGACAAAATAATGGCATTCAATTATAAAAGTGTCTTAATAATTCATAAGTTTTTAAATGATTATGATATAAATACACCAATATATGACAAAGTTTTCTTTTATTGCAAACATAATTTATACAATTTATGAATCAAATTTATACATGCATTACATAAGGAAATAAATAAAGCACTATGGTAAAAATAAGTAATATGCGGCACAATATGTATAATGATGAAAACTGCAACATTTTATATATATTTCAAGTCAGAAAACATTATATCTACAAACTCACAAAACATTTTATTGTCGAGCCTGCGACATTTATGTCGCGAAAGCGAGACATAGTGATCCTAGATTCATTCGTCGGCGGCGTCAAAATTTAGGTTCAGTCTGTGGTTAAAGTTTTTTTTAGACATCAATAACTTTGTCAAACCTTCATTGAATTTTATGAAATTTGGACAAAAGCTTGTTCATGACCAAAATGCAGTATCCAGAGAAAAATTTTGAAAATGTATTTTTTTCTTTCTCAGTATTTTTCTGTTAGATGGACTTAGTTTTTTACAGTTAACATTTACAGACAGTCTGGGATTAAACTTTTTTGACATGATACATTTGTAAACCTTCATGGATTGTTATGAAACTTGGACAGAAGCTAATCTTCAAAACCACAAAATAGCATCTAAAGAAAAAGCTTGCATTTTATTTTAAATTAAGTTTTTTACTGATATATGATGGACTCATTTTTTAAGTCATCATTACACTTTTATACTGATAGCAGCAATCGCAGGCGAGACACAGGGTTCCGCGGAACCCCTTACGAATTTTTTTACAAAGTTACAAATTACAATATTTCACAAAGTCATTCAGTTCAAACGAAGACGATGGGATGCTTCGTCAGAGTAGTCTATCGCATTGATGAGTCCTTGTACTTTTTATTAATACTTGTCAAATTCAATACATTTTCCTGGTAAATTTATAAAATATTTTTGAATATTTTCCTTTTGTTTAATAGATGAATTAAGTATCTTTTATAATAAAATGTAACAAGTAAAATAATTAAAAGGTGAAAAATATGACTTTTTAATTCAGAAATAAACTATAATTGTCAAAACAACAAAACACCCTATGTTTTTTTGTAAACCTGCAATTAAATGTGGGCAAACCAGGATGACACCCAGTTAGTTTACTCCTGCTACAATAAAATGTGGGCAAACCAGGATGAAACCCAGTTGGTTTACTCCTGCTATCATCCACCGATAGCTAGTTCAAAGCAAATTTCAAGTAATAAATAAACAAATTTTTATAGTTCTTTTCAATATTGTAAGGAAAATTCACACCTCATTGAATACGGTAGTAGAATTTAACCATATTATTTTTTTCTAAATAAAGTTGACGATTATACTTTGTTTACGTGTATTCCCGTTTAAGCATGATATGCACGAAATTAAGCTAACGAAATATGAATGAACAATTGCAGGTGTTCCTTTTTTTTTGTTGGATATCCGTCTCGTCAATGCCATTCAACTTGCCAACTAGATGTGGTCAAATGTTCACAATGCAGGTTCTGTAACAAGAGATGTAATCTGTGCACAAATTTGTTGTTGTTTTTCTGCACGAAAATTATATAAATATTGCTTTTTTTTGCCATGATTGTGGTATATTAGTAATATAAAAATATTTAAATCATACCTTGAATTACACAGATTTCTCCAACTATGATGATATCAAAAGAAATGAAACTGACAAGTTATGCATATCAAATGTACATATAATTACATATCTATAGCCATAGTTATTGGTTATTACGAATTACATTTAATTTCTATCATGTTTTGTAGTCATTTATGAGGAAATTACTAATATATAATTTTACTGGCTTTTTTATTTTGCCTGTATGTCTAAATGTCATGTTACTGAATATTTCTGATATTTTCATATTTCAACCTTACCGTTAAATATTCCGCTTAATTATTACAAATTGCTTTAAATTGTTATTTTCTACGCCCTTTTACTACTTCAATAAATAGGATCAAGTTTTACATCATGATGAACCACGCAATAAATAATATATATGAGACATGTTATATCAAAGAATTTGTTCCATAGAATATCATTGAAATCAATATTAAATTATATACAATCTTAATTTTTTGTTAAAAGTATCCCATAAAACAGAATGCGCTCATCTTTGCTTCACGAGCCTGTTCCCTGTTACGTCTCACTTTGTGTCATATAAATATAGATTCTACCACAGCATCGAGTGTGATACGATATTTATCCACTCGAGACAGTTAAATTTTCAAATTTAAAACGCGAGGCTCGCCGAGCGTTTTAAATATTTAAAATTTAACTGCCGAGAGTGGATAAATATCGTATTACACGAGATTTGGTGGTAGAATCTGTTTCTCTAATGATTTTCAAACAATACGCAGGCAAATTTATTCCTTCTTTTCGAATGATCTGCAAAACGATGTGTTCTTTCTATGTGACGTCATCAGGCATGGTCGCCTTTTTTCATGCCGTCACAATAGGACATTTCAAGGAAAGCAAGAAAATTCGACGTCATAATCGGATTTTAACCAATGAAGAACTGAGATCAAACGAACCACACGTTGATTAAATTTTTTTTATACAATGGGTGCAGAAAGGGATAAATTGCCGAAGAATTAGAGAAATGATATTATCCTGTTAATAGAAATTTATATCCTGTTAATAGACATGTACGGAAAGTCTCGGTACCGACAGTTGACACCGACTTTATCAGGTAAAATGAAGGGGGTCGTCTCAAAATAAAAAAAAGTACTAAATAATTAGCTTTTCAAGGTAAAATTTGCAAATAACAGTTAAACAAGATTTTACACAACGATTTATTTAATCAAATGTTTGTCTTCTGTTTGTTTCCTATATTTTTTTTTAGTTAATATATAGTTTCACAAATCTTATCCCCTGCTTCTTAGCTCAAAGGTATTTGTGAGCTATATTGCCTTGATCACTTGGCATCCGTAGTTTTGTCCGTTATCTTTTCCGACTGAAAAAAAGTATTTTACCAAACTTGGTATAAACGAAAACTCTTCAGATGCAGGAATTATGTCTGACAACCCTTTCAAATTTCAAAATTGTAATCGCAGCCTTTGAGCGTTCAACTTCTCGTCCAAAAATGAATGAAGGATTGATGAATGGATGGTTGGATGTTCAACATAAAGTGGCAAGCTAAATTCAGGAAAGGGAACATAATAATAACTTATAGTTGTTAATTTCTGTGTCATCTGGTCTCTTGTGAAGAGTTGTTTCATTGGCAATCATACAACATCTTTTTTTTTATATAATAAGTTATGAATATTTGACCTTGCATTGTACAAGACCAACACATCGATTTTTAACGTTCCATTTCAAAAGGTAACTGTCCGCAGTAAAACATGTCAATTAACCCTAACACATTCTGTCTCAGGGCCGACCATGCTTCGTGCTTTGTGGAGAAGCAGTAAATATTAATTTTTAAGTCTTTGGTTTGACCAGTGGCGGATCCATAATTTCTAAAAACGGGGGCCAGCTATTGCACGATCCAAATTTTGCGAAACATTTCCGTTATTTTAATAAAATTTTTCAGAAAAGGGGACCAGGTCCCTCTGGACCCCCCTTAATTCAAATCCACATCTGTTGACTCGAACCAAACTTGGCAGAAATTTTCCTGGGTTGCCATTTTCCTTTTTCAGAATGGCCGCCCCAGCTTTTAATTTGTTGGCACATTTTTTCAAGTAATATGGTCAGCACTGATTATATGTTCCCGCTTCTCCCACACCACTTGTTAGTTTAGGGAGCTACCTTTTAGTTGTTTATTCTGTTTTTTTTGGGGGGGGGGGGAGGGGGGTGGGGGCTTATAAGAAGAAAACTTTCGTCCTAAATTTTATTTTCAACAAATATCGAGTCTGACGTTTTTTCTTACTTGAACTGGTCCTTGGTTTGTTACTTCATCGATTCATTGGTACTGCCTTTTTATTGCAATTTTTTTTCTTGCCCCCAGTCGGAACCGAGACTTTCTGTAAATCTCTATTAGCCTTCTATTGTACAGGTACCGGTATTAACAGGTACACACATAAAAGTTTGCTTATTTGTAAATATGAAGTCTCCTGTTACTCCACTCCCATATACAATATGAGTAAACTGTAATGTGAATTCATTATGGGGTCCTCTTCGTGGTCCGTGCTCAAACTATGTCGATTTCTTTCAAAAACCAGAAACAACTATTTGGATTTAAACAACTAATTTAAAACATTAAAGTGCCAGATCTAAATTACAGGATAAAAACAATATAAGTACATTGTCGGAAATATAAAATCTATTTGTACTCTCTACGAAATAAACACACACACAAAGAATGATTTAGCTTATCTTAGCGGTTATATTCCCTCAACATATATATGCACATGGAATGTATTATAAACACTTAATGGCAGTGCTTGTTGTATCTCTCTCTCTCTCTCTCTCTCTCTCTCTCTCTCTCTCTCACACACATAGAAAATTATGGAAGAGTTCAGTACTCATGTTTCACCTTTCAACATATGCATCTGTTAATAGAAAGCATCCTCCTCTCTCGGATTTGATAAATTTTGGATTGCTTCGCATATCCCAATGCCTTTAGCTTTTTAGCATTTTTTATTTAGGCAGTATGTTGAACTAATCACTCGGTCTGTGTTATATATTCACAGGAGTGTTGTTGAATAAATGAACATTTCCCCTTTTTTTACATTATGCTACCTTTATGCTACAAAGGTAGCATTTCCATTCTCATGGTATACAAAGGCCTTCCAATGATAGTCATACATGTAAATCATTGTCTCATTGGCAATCATACTACATCATCATATTGTTATACATGTATGTAAAAATTATGTACATGTATACTTTGTAAACGTAAAGAAGACAAACGAAGTTGAACACAAGATATTTATTTGCATTTTTATCCGTATAGTCTCTGCACAACTGCCACTTCTGTTTCAAATTCAATAGATTGAATGCGGAGTCTTGTATTTATTCTTAGTTCAATGATGTCACCATCACTTGCACAAAAATCGCATACACATGTACATCAAGTTTGGCATATGAACTATGATATTTGAACTTCAATAATGTGGTGTTTTCACAGTCAGGATAAGCACATGTCATTTTCTCTCTTACAAAACCATTTTTTAGTATCACATTGATAGTAGTACATGTAATCGGTCCACTACATGACTGTGCAGTAACATTTGAAAAAAGTCATCACTAATAGTTGTTCCTGTCTGCCAGGGAATCTTCTTTTCAATCAGAAAGGCTAGGGAGTCCTACATTCAGCACATGTATGATATTACATCTCTTGTATGCTGCACTGTTAGGTAAATTTGATCAACATCTTTGTTCTTTTATAACATGCAGGATCCTGTTAAAAAAAATGCTGTCAGATACTGAATGTAAATATACATGTATATAAACTTGTAAATGTCATCAAAGTGGTGGAAATAATGAAAAAAAAAAATTTATATACACAAAACCGGTATGTCTTGGGAAAGTAATTCCTGTGATCAATGGTGATGGGTACATTTGTTCTTTAAAGATGGACAAAGATGGACAATTTTATAAACTGTAGCCATGGACAGGTGCCTGTCTTTATATTGAAGAGAATGAAAATGGCCGACAGCTTGAATGGTCATTTTTAATTGTAAATTGCATCAAAGCTGGTGAAAATATGGAAAAAACAACTGTTATACACAAATCCAGTATGTCATAATTACTACAAACTGAATAAAACAAGGTAAATAATTTACGAAATTGAAATATATACTTACATTATGCTGTTTTGAAAAGCTTGATGTAAAATAAAAATCGAAGCGGTGGTGAACTTGTCATGATCAGATGCAAAATGGCGATCTCGTTAAAGTCTCGTGTGATGCGTGTTTTTAATTGGATTTCGCTGACCACTGTTACAGTTGCCAATCTCTGTGTATATATGTCTCTGAAATAACGTAAAAATTTAGGAAGAAGCATGAATATCAAAAAAGTTAATAATTGAAAAGTTACCAACATTTTACTACATAAAGGCGTATTTACCATTTTCTTTTAATACCCTACAAGAGAACTTTCCTAGGAGCCGTGGATTGAATATCGTCCGAATATTTCCAAAACGTTCATGTAAATTGATGGCGTCATGTGTTATAACAGTTATTGGCCAATCAAATCGGTATTATATATCATTTCATCTGCACGGTCGGGATGGCCCTTTAACACGAACTCCTGTCAAGCAGGGTCATCCGTTCATATTAAATAACATATACCGATTTGCTTGTTCAATAACTATAACTTATTAGAAGGAAACGTCGTGTAATCTAATTAAAAACCGAGTCTGCATCGCTCCCATTTTCTGATATGTCGCGTGAAATCGGGTTTTAATCATATGAGTATAGCAATAACAAGCAAAGGTAAAAAAAAATTTAGAACATAAACTTGTATTTGACCTTTATTGACAGCAAGGATTTCAAATGATTGAAGAAAATTTAGACTAGCTGAATTGACACGGAAAGGTTGATAGATCTTATTTTACAACGTATTCATTCAGACCAATTGAATTGTTTAGAATATGATCCTGATATTGATAGAACTTATGTCGAACTATCATATCTATGATAGCCATGATTAGATCATTCTGATTGTCACGATCTGTCGCCATGATCTATTGTTTTGATATATCAAAATCTCTTTAAAGCGAAATAATTACAATAAAAGTGCAATAAATTGAAATAATTATTACAGAGCT